GGGGTGGGGGTGATGGTTGCTTTGTTCTGTTTCATCCCTACGTCTACCTTTAATCTAAACGTCTTTTGCTTGTTGGGGGAGGGGGGGGTGTTTTCCCAGAGCAACTGAAGAGAAAATATTCGAACTAGAACATTCGATCCCACATGGAAAGTCACAGCCACGGATTTGGTTGGCATCATGAAGAACAGAGCTGGAGACCAGGGGGACCATTACTTTGACCTCCTTGGAGAGGAAATGTTCAGCCTTTACTTCCTGAAGTGTTTGTTCTGCATAACGGGCCCCCAGTAAATGGGTGTTGCATTGGGTTTCTCTTCGCTGTCATGGGCTCAGCCAGTGCTTGTCGCTGGGGACCCCAATCATGACCATTGCAAATAGTCCCTGGACATTTTGTAAACAAGGAAGGCCCCTTTAAAGGCCTTTCCTCAAATTCTTACACGCATTCGTCCTAACCTTGCTCTTGAAACTCATCCAGTCCTTCAGACCCTCAGCTTCTCCCAAACTGTCAGCTGTACCTCCTTTCTTATCCAGGCTAAAGCTCATGGTCAACCATGTCGAAAGATTTTCTCCCCTAATCGTGACACCTTGCTCCCTCATTCTGATTCCATTCTGATTCCTGGGAACACCTTGATCCAGGACCAGTCCAACAATGGCAGTCACTACAGATTGCCAACTCAGCAGCCGTCACCATATCATATGCTCCTTATCAACACAACCTTGGTAATTTGCAGGTGTGGGACAGCAGTGTGCCTGGACGCAGGGGGCCAGCTGAGACTGGTCTGAGCCCGGTTATTCTCAACCAGAGGTGATTCCCCACCCCCATAGGACAGTTGACAAAGTCTGGAGGCCATTTTTTGTTGCCAGGACTGGGGAAAGGCAGGGGAATGCTACTGGCTTGTATGTGGTAAAGGGCAGGGATGCTGCTAAACGTCCCATAATGAACAAGACAGCCCCCACATCCACACAACCAAGGATTATCAATCCCTAAATGTCAGTAGCGCTGAGGTCAAGAAACCCCAGCCTAAACTAGCCGTAGCGATTGTGTTCCCATCTGCTAGAGACTGGTTTCGGATGGGTGCATCTGGACCAGTTCTGGGCAATGAGATATAAGAAACACCTACTGGAGGGGCGCCTGGGTGGCGCAGTCGGTTAAGCGTCCGACTTCAGCCAGGTCACGATCTCGCGGTCCGGGAGTTCGAGCCCCACGTCAGGCTCTGGGCTGATGGCTCAGAGCCTGGAGCCTGTTTCCGATTCTGTGTCTCCCTCTCTCTCTGCCCCTCCCCCGTTCATGCTCTGTCTCTCTCTGTCGCAAAAATAAATAAACG